AGCTTGATTTTGGGCTACAGAAGATGTTGAACGGTCTCTCACGGTGCCGGAGTGGGGGGCGCGGACGCAGACATGGACGCAGCCCTGAGGAAACTGCCGTATTCGGATACAAGTAGCGCTCAATAACCCGGTAGAGGATACCAGGTAGCCATATATATAGGCAGCCTTTGGTGATGTTCTAGCTCATCCACGAAGCTGGTTCACTCATGAGATTTTGTGGATGAACCAGTTCATTCACGAAGTACTAATCACTAGGGGTGTGCCACCTCGCGACCGCGAGTTGTTGGATTATGAGTACCTATCATGATCAAGTAAATATACAATGTATATGTAGAGGGAACTCCTTCCACCCCGCCCCCTGCTTTTCCAATCCCCAATCCATCCTTTCCACCTCCCCACAGCTCCCCCTCCCGGTCCAGCTCTCCCCGCTCACGCTCCCCCTCCCCCATCCCGCTCCAGCTCCCGCCCCAGCTCCCCCTCCTGCTCCAGATCCAGCTCCCCCTCCCGCTCCAGCTCCCACTCCCCTTCCAGCTCCTCCTCCCACAAACCGTCCACCTCGTCTACCAACTCCTACTCTCAGTTAGATCATATCATATCACTATTTAATCATAGAGCTTTTTAATTTAATTATACAAAGATAAAGACTTAACGGTGCACTCCCATGCCCAAATATTCTCAGTCCCATGCTCAGATATTCGCGATTCCATGCTCAAATATTCGCAGTTTCATGCTCAAATATTGATGTGTCGTACTTACTAAATACCCTGTCGCTCTCGACCAATCAGACTGCAAGAACCTCGGAAAATCATTATTCTAGTACATAGTAGATTACGGATAAGCTGAATATTCTCTTTTTACGCAATATAATTGGGCCGGTGATAGAGCCTCCTGCCAATGTATACTATCTGTACCTGTGTGATTAAATGGAGTATGCCTGCTGTTAAAGCTGCCAACATTTGATAAGTATTATATCTCTATTCTGTGGCCTGCATCCGAGGCGCGCTACGTACCCGGTGTTGCCATGTCTTATATCCCAATATCTTTAGCTGTTGGTCTATCTTTTTACTTCCTCCTGATTTTTACTACTACTTTATTATAAGCAATCAGACTCCTGCCTGGTTGGTTTCTTCCAAATTTACCGCTGACTTCGTGAGTGGACTGAAATCTTCCTGACTCAGCTGGGCAATTCCGATATATATCTAAATTCGTGAATGAACTGGTTCACACACGAAACTTCCTGAATGAACTGGCTTCGTGGTTGAGCTAGAACAGTGATTAATTCTACTTTAACTCCCAAGCCAGTAGGTGGTTGGGTGTGAGCCATAGCTATAGTATAATTTTTTGACTCCCGACGGAGTGATGTCGATGACTGGCTTACATATGTCGAGGGTTCAGCTTTAAGGACGAAGTAATGATTGACACGCATGTGAGGTGGACAGGGTTAGGGTTAGGGTTAGGGTTCTCGTCGGTGCTCTCCTCGTAGGGGTCTTTCGTGGAGGGTGCGGGTACGATTTTTGTAGAACTAAGTATATATAGGAGGAGTCCTGACGTTGACTTAACCAGCCATACAAACACCCCTGTTTCTCGACCCCTGTTTCTACAATAATTCTATCTCTCGCTGTATGGGAAGAATTGATACCTAATATAGGGCTTACTTAGGCGGGATGTTTTCTGTTTGCCAATAGCTACCGTTAATTCTCGAATGATCCACTATCGCTGGCCTATATTTGTATGTGGTAAGCCCGGACCAGAGTGAATTGGCGTATATCAAACCTCACGAATTCGTGCAGATACGCGTTTTTTTCTCACCCGTGATTTTTTTCTCACCCGTAATTTTTTTCTCACCCGTAATTAGAGAGTTTAAGCCATCGGACTTTTTGGCAAACTCTACCACGGCAGGAAATGTATCAATTGATGCATTTCCCATACGAAAGCGGCTTGCAAATGCATTAGTTGATGCATAAGCTTGTCGAGGCCTCAATAAATGCATCAGGCTACACATTTGCTGACGATTTTACCTACACCTTTACCTACTGTCGACGATTTTACCTACACTCGTCCCTACTGTCGACGATCTTACCTACACCTTTCCCTACTACGTACATACTGTCGACGATTTTACCAGCACCTTTCCCTACTTTGAAGTACTGTCGACCATTTTACCTACACCTTTCCCGGGCCCTACGACTTTCCTGGGGAACATTGTCAATCAGTAGGGAAAGGTGTAGGTATTAAGTAATGGTGCAGGGAAAATCGTCGACAGTAGGGAAAAGTGTAGGTAAAAATGTCGACAGTAGGTAAAGGTGTAGTAGGGAAAATCGTCGGACCGCGAATACTACTGTTCTTGGTATTTTTTGTCTCTACTGGTTATTGACTTAGATATTTTTGGATCTCCAGTTCGGCTACATATACCTATTGAGTCAGCTTATACGTATTGCTTGTACTAGTAAGTTCTATATATTGAAAAGATATAATGGTACAGGTGGTAAGCTCCAAGTCTAAGCTAGATCATAATCAGAATGATTCAGGTTCAATCCCTCCACATTCATTTGTTTTGCATCGTAGCAGGAGTGTTCTTCGGTATGATGCATTTACTAATTTCTTTACCGATGCCTTTACCGATTCATTCACTAATGCCTTTACTAATGCCTTTACTGATGCCTTTACTGATGCCTTTCAAGTTACTGATGCATTTCAACCTGTGATTCAGAAATCCGGCACTGTTTGAATTTCTATTTTCCTGATATAAGTATTTCCCGAACTCTTGGCAAAACGAGACTGTGGTGCATTAAGGATGTATTAGTTGATGCATTAATTGATGCATTATCCACACGTTTTAGGAACAAGGCTTGATAAATTGACTGACGACTTTCACTGATGCATTTATAGTATGATGCATTTACTGATGCATTTGTACCATGGTAGAGTTGTAAACCTTTATGGATATAAATTCGTTTGTTGAGTTTGAATATTTCTTGCTCTTCTCTAACTATATTCCCTAATCATGATTCACAACAGGTTATTATATTCCAATCGTATTTCAATTGCATACCAGCCAATAAGATTATTCATTACCGCGATGTGATAGGGGGATTGACCTTGCGTAATCTGTTCAAAGGTGATGGTTCGGGTAGTGTTTGAGAAACTATTTTATTCGAGGGAGTAATCAATTTCGCTTCCTTATCGGACCCTATAGAGGCTCTACCACCACAGAAAATGCATCAGTGAAAATCGTCAGTAAATGCATCGAGTCGAGTCCGGAAAATGAATCGATAATGCATCGATAATGCATCCCCAGTCCGACGTAATGCATCCGCTATGGCTCGACCAGCAAGGTAAATGTATCTGGAAATGAATTAGGAATGTTGTAAGGAAAGTCGTTGTTTAATCTACTATCAGTAATATCAATGTATCAGGTAATGGATCAGGTATTACATCAGGTAATGAATCAGGTAATGTATCCCGAGTGCATTCGCAAAGGAATGACTTTCCAGACGAATATCTTCCAGAAGACTTTTGGATCCAGACAGCTTTCCTGACAACTTTCCAAACAACTTTCCAGACGACATTGTACTATATAAATTTCGTGCCGATGGTCGAGATCGAACTCCTATGGTTCTCAATATCCAACCCAGGGGTTACCATGTACGCTATAATGTCTATATAAAGGACAGTATTCATCTACTAGTGAAGTACAGCGGTGGGTAATAAGTCATCAGACGGAACGCCACCAAAATACGCGTTTGCAGGCAAAATTGTGGCTAGGTCGTCCGATGACTTATTACCCACCGCTGTATATGCAACTAGTGACGACTTTCCCTACACATTTCCTACCACAAAACCATCTACAAAGTCGTCCGGAAAGTCGTTCACCTGCACCTGGGACGCATTTCTTGATCTATTCACGTTGCTAGTATACTAGGGACGATTTTCCCTACAACACTTTTGATACATTAACTGATACATTATTATCACCGGATACATGTAGTACATTAAACAACAACTTTCCCAATACATTTCCTGAGACATTTACATTTACTTTGCACAATTTTCCCTACAATTTCGTCAGTAAAATCGTTCAACCGACGATTAGGAAGAAGCCTCGATGTGTTATGCATCAATCGGTTTATTTAACGGATTATTTATCTATGGGCAATGCATCAAATGATGGATTTTCTGCCCTAGTAGAGAGGTGGGTCAGGCTATATAGGTACAAAATGTCCTAATTTCCATGTTATTTGCTTTTCTTACTATCCTATTATTACACATTTTACGTTGCCGGAATACTACATATCCAACATAATTATATACAGTTATTATCGCTCAGACGGATAAAACTGTCAAATTCGCGACCTGCATTTTTGAACAAATATTATCCTAACTAAGTAAATGAAACTTATTTTGATTGGCTCTGTAGTTATCATCTAGAGAAAGTAGGTAGGAGAAGTAAAGTAATTGATCGTGTTGTTTTTTCTAGCTAAGCGGGAATGCCCCGTATTTATACTAAAGAGAGGTAGTACAAAATAAATACAACTTGAATGAGTCATAGACGTATGAGTAATAGGATGACTAAAATGAAAGTGAGTCATGAGTGAGTTATACGCCGATGACAAATACTATAATGAAATAATGAGAATTTTCCAATACAGTCGTTCACAGGGTGAGGACGAAAACGGGGTGGAGACGGACAGGGTTCAAGTTCTTATCATTTCTAACTACATGGGAATATGGTCACAACCAAAAATTATACCACAACCACAATATAATTTCGCTTGGTTAGCGAAAAATATAGGCATATTCCTGAGATATAGAACTATTTTTTAAATCTTTTCCCATTTCTGTTGCTCCTCCAATGGAAATGGTTGACCCTGTCCCACAGTGTACCCAGAAATGACTTTAGTACTACTAGTTTTCGCTTTTTTCCCCTCCTTTTTGGCATCTAATTCATCCCTTTTCCGCTTGAGCTGATTGGGAATGTCCCCTCTTTCAAGTACACAAGCCTAACTAGAGTTCAGTTTGAGGCGCCGGGTGTCATGCCTCGCTTTATCTGTCAATTGCTTGATTTCCTTCCTCAAATGCTCCTCACCCGCTTCATGCATTGCCGCTCCTACCGAGCATTTCTCGGCGCCCATTTTCAGCTTTGTGAACAGTGCTCGCTGCTTCACAGATCTAGGACTGCTGCTAGTGATTGTCGTAAGACACTCCACATAGAGATGGTGAATTGAACGAGGTGTAGTTGGAGTTCTGGGTTGGTAGGTAAGCATTTCATGAGCCTGAGGTGTTTGGGATGCGGGTAGAAGTGGTGGTGACGGAACAGGTTGACTATCAAGAATAGGCTCCGGTAACATAAGACTATCTAGAACAATATTTGGATTGTAAGGCCAGATACCTGTAGCACGGAATCCAGACGCTATATTGGACATTGTAAACGCCTTGCTATGCGCTCTGGCTAGCAGGTTCGGAAAATTGGCTTTGTCCATAGGTGTTCTATGCTGGCATACCTCTTGTCCGTAGTACTTTTGTACACTCCGACGTCCAATGGTTGAAGAATATGAGATGTATGCGCAGGCAGGCAAAATGGCAAAATTTTTTTGGTCAAGCAATAGTCAATTAATACAGGTAAAAGATGTGATTCGAATCCGTCAAATATTAACAGTCTCCACTCTCCGCAAGACCTGTTTATTTCTTGAAATTTTGCAAAAAACTTATAATTACTTACGTAACTGGCTGCCGTTTCTGGTTGAAAAATCTTTTTGATACTAGATAGATGGGACTATTGGAACAATTACCGGGATTAATGTAAATATTGAAAATGACGTAGAGAGAGATGTCAGTATGACGCAGGGCAGAGAAGAGCGCTCGGCCGGGAGAAGTGGTCAGAAGACGGGGAGGGAGACCGCGCAGGAGCAAAGTACAGCTTACAGTAAGATTATTATAGAAATATGGGAGGAGTCCTATTGGCTTACCCAGCCCAGAAACCCTGTTTTTAGACCACTGTTTCTACAATAATTTTACCTCTCGCTGTACAAAAGGTCAGATAGCTCTCACCTAAATAGACGAACTAGCTAGAGCGAGGGGCGTCAAAAGACAATGGATCAATAGACAGTATCATTCAAGGAAAATTCAAACGTAGAATCAAGGGACGGAAAGACGAAGAGTTTAGACCAAAAGAGGAGATATACTAGTTGTCGGTGGACGATATTTGCGAATGAAAAAATGAAGATTTTTGATCAAAAGACGAAGAGTGTGAACCAAAAGATGGATAGTTGTAGGAAGGCGCAGATTAATAAAAAATGACGATATGCAACTGTCAAAAGACAGGGATTGCGAGCGGAAAGATGATATGTAATGGTCGAGATAGGCAGGTTGACGACATAAGTCGGCCAATATGACGTACTAGGGAATTGGACTAAAGGCGAGGTGACGAGAGCGTAGGATGAGTTTCATAGAGCAAGATGTGAGCGTAATGGTAGAGACGCTACCTCCGATGTCCAGAAGACGAGCTCGTCTTCGAGGGATGGGAAAAGGTTTTTGTCTCTAGTCTTCGTGATCATGATGTTGTCGGTTGACCAAGAGACGCAGAGCTCTCGTCGTGTAACACCCAGGTGTCGGTATGCCGGTAAGAAATTGCTGGGGCGTCTGGGGCGTTTGGGGTGCCCAGGCGTAACAAGACGAAACATCATTTTTTGTTGATGTACAGATACAAAATTCAGGCTACTCTCAGTACTTGCCAAGGAGCAAATGTTAGAACAATATGCATAGGACTTTCTACCTCCTACTTACTATTCCGAAATACTTACTACCACTCCCACAATCTTCATGGACATTCAGAAGTTCACGGCCACCTGAATCCACCAAATGATGGCCCACAAAAACTACCTATACGTTCATAAATAATGCTTCAAACTCCTGGCCACTACCTGGATACCTGCGACAGATGTGGCACAAGTACCGAGACATTTGAACATGCTATTCTCTCATGTTAGGTGAGGGCAATGTAATGTGTACAATTCCTACCAGACGTTCCCTCCTCAATAACATCTGAAATGACCCCACAAACACGCTGGTCTCTGGAGTCTAAATTCCAAAACCAATTTCTCCAAGAAGAACCACTGGCAGATCTCTCCGCTCCTTACCGGCTTTGAAGTGTCGAGCTCACTCAGTCCTCTCGCCCCCTCTAACTAGCCTACACACAACAGAACCGGCCAGCAAGGCAGATACGACGCATTTACAAAGGTTTCTTCCACGGGTGGCCGGTTACCAATACCATGGAGAATGATTTTACATGTCGGAAAATGGCTGCAATTGTGTTTCATCTTTTCTTTGTATTTCGAATATTTTACAGTCTGCTATTTCAATTTCTCTTTTGTTCCGTCTCATGTAGGGTTGTGCTTTCATGTTTAACAGGTCGGAGAGGGGTGCTTTTATGCCATAGTCTACGACTGCACGCAGAGTTCTGTACCTAGAAACAAACAAAAAGGTATACTGTGAGGGAGGGTATAAGGGGGTAGTGCACCTAGAATCAATTAAAACTACATGATATAAAAAAAAAAAATAAGGGGGTAGTGCAGATGTATCTAAAACGGAATATAAAGTAATGTTCGAGTTGATATAATATTTATAGCAGGCTTACCGCTAAAACTCGATAAATTGGCTATCTCTAGCCAGGGATTATCTCTACAGCGATTTGTTGAAGGGCCTCAAAAGTGTAATTTTGATCTGCTCATGATTCTAGTGAAGGAAATTACTTACCGCCAACGGCGGCAGACGCCTATTGCCTGCCAATGATCGCATATGGCTACATATGACTGCATATGACTGCATATGACTGCGGGGGACGGCTGGAACGGCGGGAGACAGCCGTTACCTGAAGGTTTCAGGGTCCTGCAGGGCCTGGCGGGCACAAGGGTCCTTTGCGGTCCTTCTGATTCCAGCCCTGGACGGGCTGTAGAGCTCGGTCCGCCCAGTCCCCACCTCTTTTCAGGGCCCTACCGGGTGCCCGGCGGGAGCCCCGGACGCTTGCGAACACTGAATTTACAACTTCGATTACATCTTAGTTTAAGCTACGTAGGACAAAGCCATGGATACCTTTTACGTATATAAATGGCCTTTACAGTGGGAACGCCTTGCGCATCCCGTCAGGCCGGCATCCCTGGATATTGCGTACATGGGACAGTTTGCGCATATTGCACTCATTGACTTTATTCTCATCATTTGCTAGCTAAACAAAACAAGTCTTCTTCCCATCACTTCATTTAAGTAAAAACAAAAGGAACAACACCTTCACCATCATCCTTCTTGTCCTTGCCCTCCTCCTTGCCCTCCTCACCCTCCTTCTTACCCTCCTTACTATCCTTACCCTCTAGCTGGCCCTCCTTCCATGGCTCGCGGCGTTGATCGTCTGAAGTAGATTTTTCGGTGGTAGTAGCCCAGTTTTCCTTGGGTTTATCTGACTTGCCAGGGTCCATTGTGTATGTGAAAATTCTACAATGTTTAGATATAGTCAAAGAATGGGGGGGAGGAAGAGGACATACTAGGTCTTGCCTTATAGGATGCTTCCGAGAGTTGGTATGTGGTTGTCAAAGTCAATGTTAAGGTGAAGGCGGACGTGAGCGGCAAAGGCTGACTATTTTATTCTTACGGCGATACACGCAACGGGACCCTCTGCTTAGAGGGCAGCTTATCGGCATGACAGAGAAATATCGTGATATGTGATATTTCTTAACTATGAGGGGTTTTGAATTAAGCTCTTTCTCTGGCGGCGCCCCGCAATCGGTCATTTCACCTACACATGATTGTCTTTTTCGTTCGAACCGCCTAGTACGCTTGAAACACGTGAAGAAACTCTTCCGTGATATTCCGATTGAGAAAATACCTCTAACGTGGCCAATTGGACTCCACCGTGATCATATAGAGACTCGTTTCGAGTGAGGAGTTGCCAACCATTCTTGTTTACCCGCTTTTTTATTCTCGCCATGAACTGATAGTAGAATATGTAGTCAGATATCGATTACAATGCGGAAAGTCTTTCTTAATTTTACTTTATTTCATCATGTATGCATCCTTCTAAAATATAACACGCACTCTTTAGTTACACCCTTTCCTTTGGTTACCTCGTTCTTCGCCTAGACATCGAAGTCCCCCAAAAACGGCTCTCTATTCAAACATAACCCACTCTCTGCCAGCTAGTGGGCCGCAGACTAGAATCATGGACGAAAGAGTCCAACTAGCCTTTCTCAAAAATCTCCCACTATATGAAACTGAAAAGCCGTACCACAACTTCACTAACGGTATGAGCAACATAGTCCTTGAAAAATCGCCAATGAAAACAATTTTGGATATTCGCGGCAGAGAGAGGGAGTTCACACTTGCCATCCATGGCTTCGAGTATCGGGGGCATGAGCTTCCAGTTGTTGACTGGGAGGACGAGAACGACATCAAGAAAGCATATGTTGAAGACCTAAAAGAATTTGCGAAGAAGTTGGTCCCTGAAACTGTACAGAGATGTGAGATGTTTGATTTCCGGGTGAGACTAGTGCCAGCGGGAATTGACTTCCGAAGCTAATAGTAACAGTTACGGAGCGTCAATGCAATCCAAAGCAAGATGCCTATTCATCCTGGTTTATGCGGAACTGCACAGCTAGCGCCCGCCACGGCAGTACACGTCGGTAGGTTCTTCTTCTTCTGTTGAGTTCAGAGAGACTACGAGAGACAGAGCTACATGTAGTAGATCAATCACCTCAGGGGATCCTGGAATGGTTGAAACGGGAACTCGGGGAGGAGGAAACCGATAAAGTCGTCAACAATCACCGTGTGCGGGTGGTGAAGTATAATTCATTTAGCATCACCCTATTTCCATACCAGTAACTAACTATCCAAAGCATCTGGCGTCCGCTCGTCGATGTGGTTGAGGATGTTCCATTAGCTATGTGCGATGCACGCACCGCCAAACCCTCGGACCTTGTCAGTTCCGTTCATGTCAGTGCCGATTACCCTCGCAGAAACTATTTCGTCAAATACAGTGAAGAATTTCAATTCTACTATCTCTCGAAAATGACGAAGGAAGAGGTGTGTGCCTTCATGGTGTTCGATTCAAAAGCGGTAGAGGAAGATAGAATATGTGAGTTTCGACCTAAGCTGGGTTGGCAAAACCTAACTCAAGACAGGCATGGCCCCACACTCGGCGTTTTGGCATAGTAAGAAGTGGAGGTCGGATAAGCGCCCGAGAGTAAGTATTGAAGTGCGTCTCTTGGTGCTGTCAGCGCTTGAGTAGTTGTACGATAAATATAGCCACACCTAGCGCGATATCCGAGATTTGTAGAAGCACGGTTCACGATATTAGATAAAATTAAATAGAATATTCTATATAGGTTTACATTGTATTTGCGACAGGCAGCAAGTATCAGAATATGCGGCTGCATTGCATTGGTGATTGTAATTCAATAATAATTGGAAATACTCAAGGGAGCAACAGTAGAGAGCTTCATCATTTAGGGGGCTGTTTAGCTAGATCACCGACTTCATAAATGACCTTCATAAATGACGAGTGTAGCTGAATGCGCATTTCTTGAGTGCGCCCAAATTGAAGCTTTGTTTCTTGCTCTCCTACTATCCCTTGGACGGATGAAACCTGTCAATTCGCTGCCTCCCATTTTGAGCCAATTCTCACTTTATGTTGCAACGAACTTTGAATTTCGATTGGCTGTTTAACCATACAATATAATCATTACTATCATATCCTTTGAAGCTAGATGACTCGTCATTTATTGTATGAATAAAAGAAAAAAAGTAACATTGTTATTACGTTTATTGGGTTGGTCATTGATTAAAACTGATCATTTATCAAAATCGGTCGTTGATTATAGGTCATAGAATTGACAATTGTAAATGACCAGTCATTCATTTGTCTCGAACCAGAAGTTGTGTGAATAAATTTTGTGGTCTGCCGATTTATTAAGCCTACGCTAAGCCGAATTGTGTCTGGTTCGAGAGAAGTCATTCATCGCTAAATAACTACGTATGCTAAAACAAAGATTTCATCCATTCTTTGCTCCTAGAGATACGGACATGTATATTCGTGTATCTTGTAACTGCTGCGGGTGCACCTATTGTGTTTTATATGCTAGATATCGGGTTCTATCCCCAGCTGAGTCGTTGGCGGGGCTGTCTCATGCACAAGAATTAAATGATCGTAATTTTCACATGTTGAAAGTAATTGGAACTGTTGTAGTTTCTGTCAAATACTCGGCTTTCTGTTCAAATTACACGCTCGTTTATTAAATATTAGCATATCGTAGCTATCAAATACCTACTCAAGTTTGGCACTAATGAACCAATGTGTGAGTACGTAACTATCGAATTAATCTAAAACGGTTCTGAGGGCTCTGAAGCATCACCAAGATAGTCTCTGTTCGGCTGCGTCATTTCAATGTCGAGTGTGATGCTGGTCGACAATCCGGTGCGAGTGAAAGACGCGCAGCGCAAGAGGACATTTGCAAGTTCTATTGACCTGCCGTGGGGGCAGACCTTGCAACGGGTGATGAGTTATTTGGGTGTACCCAGGTAAGTTAGATTGGGTTGGGTTGGGTAAGTCCCAAGTGGTGAATGGGTTGGGTTGGGTGTGGGGAAATGTTTACCTAGGTAACACATGGCCGAGTGATGGGCCATGATTACACATAAAATGGACCACCGATTGCGGGGTCAGCCGATTGCGGGGTCAGCGTGGGGGTGCATCTGTTGATTGCCTGCGGCGCAGTAACGAAAAAATCGAATCGAAGTGATTAAATAGAAGGATTTACGTTATCTCATCATTCATCAACGAGCTAAAAAGCATGGGTGGGGGTGTGAGTGCTCATAGGTATAGTGTTATCGGGACACTCTTGAAAACATAGTATAGGAGCCCTATTCGCTAGGCTCATGTGACACTGGAGGACTTCCCGTAAGCGAATAGAAACTTGCTATCGTCATAGAGAGTCTTTTGTGAGTAGAATCTATTTAATCTATTTGGCCTCTAAGACACATATTTGGCACTAGCTACTGCGCTATCAAGGATTATTTCTTATGCAGGCGATGGAATAGCAATGGCTCCTCTCCCTTGAGAGGGGTCTATCCTGATCATATAGACAACCAGTTATATCGAATAGGACATCAAATTTGATCTATCGAGCGATAGAAAATGTTCTATTACTCCCTATGGTGCAATATTTTGTGTGTGGGGCGGTAAATGACCCTCGCCGGAGCGATGAATAGCGCAAGAAAGAGCAGAAATCGCTGTGTTTAGCGAAACTCCGTTTATTTACCGGACTATGCCGATAGAGTCCAGTGATATTCTCTAGTAATGGTGATTGGCCTCCGGGGGGATAATATATCTGTTCTAATTTTAGCGTTGTCCCAAGAGGGATGGAACAGCTGAGAGCAGCAAAAAATAGGATGACTGCCTGCTAGAAAGGATGATCATCTCATGTGAGAGGTAACTGCTCTGATAGCTTACTTGGTCAGGTCAAGAAATAGGAAAGCTGTCAAGAAATCGATAGCATAGTTGATAAGACTCTGAGTATGAACTCAGGATGGCCTGGGTTTGAACCCCTGGAACTCTATTTTTCAAAAAGTCATGGGTCCAGCAAGGTGAATGACCGCCTATTCAGGGCAATTCTTTTCAAATTTATCCTGATAGAAGGGATAAACAGGTTACTCCACAGGGATATACCATCCCCTCGAACGCTACCTCATATGACAGGTAAATTATCTTTTCGAAATTGTTCTCTAGGGTACTTCCGGGAAGGCGTCCACTTTCGAAACCTCTCTCATGCACAACTATCATATGATCTCAAATTTAGGAGAGAAAATGTCAGGCAAGTATTTGGCTGAATATATTGGGCTTTGAAACGCAGTTATCGTGGTCGATCACTCCCTCGCGATCGATAGGCCACAATGATAGAGTCTTTTAGCCACCCACCATCGAAAAGTCAAAATAACGTGCTATCCGTTGGACGGAGAATGTATCAATTCACTGCCTCCCCTTTTAACTTTATCCGGCAACGGACGTTGAATATTCCCTTACTGAAGCGGGTACACGGTCCAGGCAGCGAATTGAAAAGATTCATGCGTCCAAGGGATACCCAGGCTGCATATGTCCTGTCATTTCTAGCGCAAGATCCGAGGTCCTGATGCTCGCAAAGTCTCATCCCTAAGGCATCCACGGCGCTCTTGGGGTTTTTATTTCTTGGGACATTTTAACTGTGTATCTTATATGGAGTAATGTTTAGACTGAGGTTAGACCGAAGATTTCCACTGGTAGTGTTCATCGTCTCTCGTCTTTTGACATATCCTAGAGGCGACGACGTTTCGCAATAAGATAAGCGTAGGAAAGGTTGAGTTGAAGGATTAGCAGATGTTTGCACTACTGTACGACGAGTTTCGTAATTGGGGCTGTCAAGCGGCAATGTTTTGTAGTCAAAGGACGGGTGGCCAAAAGGAGACAGACATACGACGAAACCGTTGAGCCAAAAAGATGAGGTATACAAAAGAAGAATTTGGTCACCTGGGTGCCCGGATTCGTACTCGCAAAACCCATTTTTTGCTGATGCAAGGTAGTCTTTCTAGTTCTTTTAGCTCTAAAATTGTAACATCACTCAACCTTAATACTATCTTCCGTCTCATTCCATGTAATATTTATAGGGGAATTAGCAAACCACTCCAGATTTTCTAAGTGAAACTTCCCCCAACACTCTACTCGGTACCGACACTCATCGGTAGGTGTATTATCCTCCATTATTAGTAAATTCAGCTATTTCTTTTCAAAGCAAAAAGAAATAATAAGAATTCTCATTTCACCTTTCAATATATATATAGTTCTAGGACATAAATCATCGTATCATCCTTCTCTTCCGCTATTTATTTAATTTTTGAAAATAACCTCCAAAACCTTGCATGGTAACCATCATTCCCCACCAAAAACTCTGTAAAACTCAGGCTTCAAGATGCCACGCCCCACCCTGACATGACCAAGGCCCTGGATGCCCTTGGTATTGGCAACCTCGATCAAGATCTTGTAGGCATAGCCAACAACTCCACCCCCTCCACCCTCACCATTGCCATTTTGGCCAGCCCAAACACATCAGACGAAACCAGACTCGTCATCACCCTATTGTGCGGCATCACTAAACAAAATGCAACCATGATAGGCGATATCACCTCCCTTCAACAGGACCACGAAGACCTCCAACAGGAAGTCCATCACCACCAGCGCTCTCCTGACCCCCGCATCCTCAACCGGCTCGACAGCATTGAGACCCAGCTCCGCAAAGCCCCGGCCCGCTGGCATGCCCACTCCCCTCCCAAACCCAAGAACAACCACCACCCCCGCCCTGCCCCCCCTAACCCCGGACCCAACTCCTACACCAATGCCGTCAGATTAACAGTAATCCCGCCTGCACAACTCGCCAAACTGCAAAGACAAAGCGGAAAAAGGAATGCAAAAGCTACAGTATCCCCCCCAAAGGACACGCTTCTCCCGACCTACAAACGCCGATTCTTCGCCACTAAAGCCACCTCCAACCTCATCTCCGATTCCGACTACCTCACAGCTGAACTCCCCATCCTCTTCGGCCAGTTCCTAGCGAAACAAAGTCTTGTCGCTCCAGCCACCACCCTCTCAGTCACCGTCAACGCCAAAGGAACAGTAACAGTTCTCGCTGCCCCAACAGTTCGAAACACTACCTCGCCCCCTTCTATGATAGGCTCACCAACGACGCAATCCGCAATGCCAGAACCTCATCCACCATCATCATCACAGTCTCCCACTCCGAAGCTGCCAACATCGGTACCAAAATACACCTCTTCTCCCGCCCACGTCGCTGTGCCATCATGTGGTCAGCCTCAACAGGAACCAAATACTCCCACTGCTATAAATTCGACCATGTCATCAAAGGATGCAAACAAGAACTCCCAACCTGCCCCCTCTGCACCCTCTCCTACACCAAAGCACAATACTGCTTCCCCATTCCGAACTGCCAAGGATACAACTCAGCAACAATCGTCTGCTGCGATTTCTCCCAGCCCAAGTGCTCCAACTCCGGTGGCCCTCACCCAGCCTTCGCCTCCTCCTGCCTACACAGACTCGACCTCCAAAGGCAAGATGCAGCCAATATTGACACCATGCCTGGAGGCCAAATCTTATCCCCCATCGGCTCCCCCTCCACCCACCCGGACGAAGATGTCACCGAGATTCCCCAAGCCACGGTGGCGGAGATGGACCTCACCAATGCCTCAATG